ACTCTTCAAGAAAATAGATAGCCCTTGGGACGATATCCACCTCCTCCGTCCTTTGTCCGTTAAAGAACGAGCTAGATAATAGAAATATAGCTAATTTCTAGTAGTCACTGTCTCTGTGAGATACAATTTTGCTTGCCATTATATTATTTATGCGAAAGTTACACTTGCTTTACTTCGTCATAGTTGAAAAAAGGCGACCACCCAGCCTCCATTTGTTTTTTATTGTTAGTGTAAGATGTAAAGAAAACACTGGTGTCTAAATTTATTCCGACAACATCAACTGGAGGTAAGAGAATATTACAGATATATCAGGTACATTCCCTGATTCAACAAACTAGCTTCCAGTCCGTCAAAAGCCCATATATGAGTTACTTACGTGTTACGCCTTATGTACTTTTAACGTGCGACTTGACATGCTGAGTCAAACCGACTTAAATTGAAAATAATTTATTTTTGTTAACTTCAAAAAAAATTCTCGTTAGAAGAATTCTTACGAGTGGCCTTCTTGAAACCGATGCCATCTAAGTTAAGAGCCCAATATGTAAATGAACATTTGATTAACTACAAGAAAAAAATCAATACAAACAAATGAATGAAGGTTATAGACTATCCTAAAACTCCTAATAAACAAAACACTCACAAGTCACATCTATGAAAAATACAACACTTCATTTTTTTTTACAACAATACCAACTTTTAGGTTGGGTTTCATGTTTTGGGTAGGAAAAATGAGAAGGAGGCCGCTGGCCTATTAGGGGAAGGATTGGGATTTTGGGTTTTCCTAGCCAAAAATGTATACTCTGTCTTTAGTTTGATATATATTGAAGATTGGAATTGATTAGTAGTTGTAGTTATCTTCGTTCCTCTGAATATTATCTTCGTTCTAACTCTCTTTCTTACGAATATCTTTCAACATCGACGACGCAAGTTACGTTAAGATTCTCGCAGGAGAAATACACGTAACGATTGGCACCAGAGCCTGGTCAAACTAACGTGATTCGTGAAGATGGCACTAAAGAAGTCTACGCAATCAACGACTACCTCCGACCAGTCGGCGATTGACGAGGAGCTCCTCCAGGGTCTTCTCCACTTGCAGGAATCCGCCACCATGCGAATTGACGAGATTGGCCGACGACATTAGGGATTCGAGGAGGGAATCCTGAAGATTGAGACCACTATGGCGCAACTTCAGGATACCATCACGCAGAATCAGAATCCATCACGCAGAGTCAGGCATCCATGGCGCAACAACTTCAGGCATCAATGGCGAAACAGCTCTAGGAGGCCATGGCACGGCAATATGTAACATTCATCCAACAGTAGTAAGCAATGATGGAGATGATGCGCCAGTTGATCACCACCTCCAATAGGAGAAGGCGACCTTGACTCCATAGCCAGGTTCGACTGAGGACGTGCCAACTGGGGAGAAGGTTAAGGGCGTAATGGGAAAAGACGAAGTAACCGGTGGGCAGCTTGTCGCCAAAACAAGGGAAAGAGGCAGCGACGATCGCAACGGAGATGAGGCGAACGACGAGGATTCGGTCGTGGTGACCAGCTCGAATGAGCGCTCGCGGCCGATGCGGAAATGACACCAAAGAAGGAGGACGGCGGGCACGGGGAGACGACAGAGCCGAGGGTTTCTTTTCCTTCGGGATTCACCAGCGGAGATGTGAGTCCGGTGAGTTTCGGGTCAGGGCTCTTGGGTTGAGGGGTACTCAATAGCAGGTCGGGAGCCGGAGTAGGGGTAGGCCGCGGCCCAACTAGGGCAGGGACAGAGGCATAAACGTGGGTCGGGGTCGGGCACGTGGTCCACCACGGGTCCAACAACAGAGTGGGCCGGATGGAGGGCGAACGTGCCGGATGGAGGGCGAATGGGCCGAGGAGGACCAGGCGGGCCGAACGGGCCGGGCTGGCCTGGAGGATCGGGCGGACCAGGTGGGTTCGGGTGGCCAGACAAGCCAAGGTGCCCGAGTGGGCCTGGCGGGCCATGTGAGCGGATTGATCGATTGGGCCAGGAGGCAGATTAGGCCCGACTGAAGGTGGAGGCGAGCCGCGAGACCGTGGAGTTGGGTCAGGCCATTCTTATGGGTACGGGTCGGGTCGGTTCGACAAACAAACTGGTCCATTTCGATAGAAGCTGGCTCGACTAGAGTTTTCGAGATACAATGGAAGCGAGGATCCATCTGGATGGTTCGCACGACTGGAGCAGTTCTTTAAATTTCATGAACTACAGAAGAACATAAGGTGCTCTTGGCATCTTATCACATGGAGGGAGACGCTAACCAGTGGTGGTAATGGTTGGATCGCGCTTATACGACGTCGGGGTTGACCATGACATGACTCCAATTTCGAGAGGAGTTATGGGCGAGGCTTGGGCTGTCCGACAACGTCTCTTGCCGCGAGGCACTTGCCAAAATCAAGCAAACCGGTTCCTTGAGCGACTATTTGTTGACTTTTGAGAAATTGGGTAACTAGTGCTTGGGATGGACCAAAGAATGTTAGTGGGTTCATTTGTTGGTGGGTTCAAACCGTAAATATCTGACGCAATCCGCATGTTTAAGCCAGAAATTGTACGAGAGGCAATTCGACTTGCCAAGGTGAAAAACGAGGAGTTGGCGAAACATCGAGGCATGCACAAGAGAAAACCGCGAGTACCCTTGGAGACCGCGACCGAGCCACCACCACCGCTACCACGAGCCGCACCGCCACGCAACTCGAATGCTAGGAGGATGTCTCGAAAGGAGGTAGCAAGACTTCGAGCGCAAAGACTCTGTTTCCATTGCGAAGAACGTTTCATGATTGGCCATCGTTGTGCCAACAAAAACGTGCTACTAATGATAGGCGCATGCTCGACGAGGAGGAGGGTCAATTCGTTCACGAAGATGACCAACCTTGAGTGCAAGGTTGCTGCAAAGTGGGGAGGAATGTGAGAATCAAGTCATCGTAACTATTGGGACTCGATCTGGGCTTGGTTATTTTATTGTTTAGCATTTAGTAGTAATTGTCTTTATTATTGCTTTCATTGTTCAAGTAGGATTTGGTTTATTATTTAGGAGTTTAGTATTATTCCTTGTAGGTTGAGTTTCATGTTTTGGGTAGGAAAAAGGAGGAGGTCGCTGGCCTATTAGGGGAAGGATTGAGATTTTGGATTTTCCTAGCCTGTAAATATGTATTGTCTTTCGTTTAATGTATGTTGAAGATTAGAATTCATTAGTAGTTGTAGTTATTTTCATTCCTCTGAATATTCTCTTCGTTCTAACTCTCTTTCTTACGAATATTTTTCAACATCGACGACGCAAGTTATATGAATGTTCTCACCGGAGAAATACACGTAACATGGATAAGGGATTCGTACGGGTTTTGACAAACTTGACAAGTCTGGTTTGGGGCACATTTCCGATGAAAGAGCCTCTCTTTAGGCTTTAGCTGCCAACCAGTTTTGGAGCATCTCCATATGAATAATTTGAGTTTTGGTGGGAGGTTCGGCCTCATATCAATTTCCAATTCTCTTCATTCCCTGTCGGTTGAAAGTTTGGGTTTGTTTTATGAAAACCAGTTTTAATTGAGAACCCACCATCTTTGGTGAGACTCCAGCACAAAAATCATCTGACCCTTCTTCCCCAATTGGATTCGAAGGATAACTTCCAAAAAAAATCACAACACTTCATCAATGATCAGACTGGTAGCCCTTTGACTCTTTGACACTCCATTGTCTGAACATAATAATCCCTTTTTTTTTTCTTCTTCTCTATAGTGAGAACATATAATTCCTTTAAAAAAAAACAAATAATTCCTTTTTACAAAAATACTCAACTCTCAAGGATCTTCACAACAGTATCGTTAGCGAAACTGGTGGAAGGATTTATAAAATAACACTATGTTTGGGAAGGGGTGCAAATGGAAGGGGTGCAAGTTTGGAGGGGTAAACACAAGTTCCAAGGTGTTTACCCTCGTTTGGTTATTTTGTAACAGTAGGGGGTGCAAAACGTGAGCGTAAATTCACTGTTTCGGCTTACCCCCCAAATTGGGGTGCAAGGAAAGGAAGGAAGGGAGGGGGAAGGAGGAGGAGGGGAATTATGAATTTTTAATTAGATTATAATTACATAATAATTAATATTATTAATTTTTTCTTATATCTATATTAGTGTAGAAGTTGTTTGGGGTTGACCGTTTGACTAAGAGAGCAAGTTTGTCAATGTTCGCCTCGTCAAATCGATATCTCTTAGTTGACCCGAATTTGCATTGAAAATTAGAGATAAGAAGCATTTGTTGAAAAGATAGAGAGGAACAGTTTAGTTAACTCGATTTACTTTAATAAGTAGTTAAAACTTACAGATTCGAACGTGTTTGACTAAGTTTGACCATATTCAATTTAAAGTTAGGCACGAGAACCCCCTTAGGATGACCAGTTACGAGTTGGATTTCGAGTTTCGAGGTTGCTCGACCAATGATTATTATTGTTGTTATAAATAATTATATTTGAGCATTATTATATAATAATTATTTTTATTAAAATTATTTTATTTATTATTTTTATTATTATATATTAAATTTTCATGTTATTATTTTGTGATAATATTTTATAAATTGATAAATCTATTTTATAATAATATAATTACTTACTTTTTACTCTATTTGCACCCCCCTACTTTTTCATCCAAACAACAATTTACCCCTCCACTTACACCCTCCACCAAGTTGCACCCCCCAACAATTTACCCCTCAACTTGTACCCCCCTCGAACTTGCACCCCCCTTGTTGCCAAACATAGTGTAAGAGAAACGGACGGCAGGGGTTAACGCAACCTCCGTCCGTCACCGTCAGCCAGGGGCCAATTAGTCATTTGGCTAGAGGAAAAAGAAAATGGCGACTGACGCTCCAATGAGAAGGGTCGTTGTCGGTCGGTAATTTGCTACAGACAGAGAAGCGGAAAGAGACAGAGAAATGGAAGACTTTTCTTTTCAATTCCCCCAAATTAATTCGTAAAATATCATAAACCCTAGAAAACAAGGAAAAGGAGAAGGTCCCAGCAAAGAGATATTTTCTTTTCCCACTTAAAAGAACCCAGTATCTGCTTCTCCACTAACTTCGCGCCTCTAAAACCCTTCTCCGTTCTGCCCCCCTCTACCTCCTCTCGTCGTTGGTCGTCGGTCGTCGGTCGTCGGTCGTCGGAGGCAGGCCGTCGCTAGCTGGCTTGCTCGGTTCGCGCTTCGACTGCGCGTCTGTCTTCGAGGTGCATTTACTTCGTTCGATCCCTGTTCAAGGGCTTGGTGATTTGGTGGAAAACCGCGGTAAGTCCCCTTCCAGATCCCGAATCGCGCTGCTTTCGTTTTCAAATTCCTTCCTTTGGTTTTCTCGCTTGATTCGTATGATTTGAATTGCGAATCCGGTGGATCTTCTCGATTGGGGATTACTCGGATTTAGCTTTGGTCTGTTGCTTGCAGTCTTTTTTCAAATCAGGGCTTCTTTTCTGTTCCGTTTTTTATCCGATTCGGATGCTGCACGGTACCCATGTTTGGCTGGGGTTTTCGTCTTTCTTTTCCGGTTGAGGATTTGAATTACTAGTATTTTTCCCGTCCCTTCCGCAGTTTGATTTGTCATTCGGGGACGGGAAGCATAGTTTCTGTGTTCGTCTTGCTCTTTGTGGGTGATTGGGTTTATGTTTCTGGGGAGGGTTTGTGCTTTCCGTAGCCTAGAGGAGTTATGGGGTCGAAATGCAATTACTTTTGTGGTGCTTTACTTGGTCTTCCCCTTGCTCTATACGAATTATTGCGGTTCAAACCTTCTGATGCAGCCTTCTTCTACCCAGCAGCTCTCCCGTACGTACGTGATGTTTTCAGTTTCACTTTCTAGTGCCACGGCACTTTTGGAGATGGCTTCATAAGGTGCATGTGATTGGGGAACCTTTGCTTTCTGCACCTGTGTTCCTCCAATTGATCATCATGGGAGCTGCCGAAACTGTTGTGACTAAGAAGATTTTGAAGATAAAATTTTCCACCCAGAAGGTTGAAGTTGATCCTGGGGCAAGTTCATGTGGATTGAAGCAGAAGTTGTGTGCTGATCTTACTTCTCAAACTCGGATGGGTACATCACAAAATGCTAAATTTGCCGTTTCGTGCTCTAAAAAGCGTGGCCCGTCAATGGATATAGATGGTCATCCATGTAAGAGATGGAAAATGGATCGTACAGTAACACAGCAGTGCTTGGCTCTTCTGAAAGTTCTTGTTGGACATCCAGACGGTTGGGTTTTCTCTGAGCCAGTGGATCCTGTCAAACTTGCGATTCCAGATTATTTCACTATCATATCCCATCCTATGGATCTAGGGACCATAAAGTCCAAGCTGTCTAAGAATGCATATGTGGGGGCTGAAGAATTTGCAGCTGATGTTAAATTGACGTTTGATAATGCTATGCTGTATAACCCACCGAGTAACCCTGTGCATCAGCAGGCCATGGAGCTTCATAAAATTTTTGACACCAGATGGAATTTATTAGAGGATAAATGGAGTTATGAAATGTCAAAATATGGAAAGGCGAAATTACGTGGTGCGCAGGTTAAGGGAAACGACTGTATGAAACAGAACTGCCCCAGAACGCCACCTCCTTGCAATGCTACTCTATCTAGGAAGCCATCAAAAGAGATGACGGAAAGGGGCTCTTTACATGCCCAGGCTGTTGAGGTAAGTATTGAGTTAATCTTTTTCAACTTGAGCTAAATCAGCCATTGTTATTAGCTGGGCGACTGGTTTCAGTCACAACTCACGATGGCTGCTTTCGTTTCCATATCCTTCGATTAAGCGGCGGTGTAAAATATTCGGTCTGTTTTGTTTGTTTGCTAGGTTAAGAATGCCAAAGCTGCTGATAACTGTGTACCGAAGTCCGTCAAAGGTATGAAGTGGCACCGACTGTGGTTTCTGGTTTATGGCTCATTACAGGAGCTAATCAGTAGAATTCTTATGGTCAATTGAAAAGGTCCTGGACATGTGCATGGTCTTATCAATTGCAAACCACCAATGAGGATAGTGGTTCGCAAATGTGGTACTTGTGGCAAGGGCCCCTGTGGATGTAGCCTTCAGATGAATTCAGTTAATGCATTGTCAGGTAGTTGATTCTCCTCTCCCCCTTTCTTTCCCCCTCTTTCTCTTAGGTGTATTATGTGACTGATTATTGATGATTATCTTTGTGTATGTCTTGCTTCAGATGCATCCATTGCTGGAGCATTTAGCAGGGATCTTTCCCAAAGCACTGATGCCAGAACAGTGGTATGACAGAAGTTTATGCTATTGCATCTTTTTTTGTCTTCTTAGTGGCCATACAATGGCAATGCATGACATCTTAATGTGTAATTGAATAGGACTATCCGCCAGAGGTTATCTCGATTTCCCAAATGAGCAGGTCAGATCCAGATTCTGATGGTGAGGTCTTTATCCCTTTTCTACTCAGAAATCATGCACCTCACCACTTTCGGTGACTGATTGTGTGATGGAACTTGGAAAAGGTGCCGTGAGTGCTTTAGATGAAGACAATTTATGTCCTAGTTCGGAGCTTGTAATGCCTATTACGGATGCAACTTCTGGAGAAGGTTTGCTTCACTTCTGGTCTCAATCATCAATTATTTCATTTGATTTGTTTCTTTCTCTGATTTCATTAGTGTTTCGGACTTGTGTTTAGATTGGAGATCTCATGTTGTTGAAGCACATCAAATGTCACCGAAAAGAGCCCTACGTGCTGCAATGATTAAGGAACGATTTGCATACACAATTCTGAAGGCAAAGCATAATACGCTTCTTGATCATGTAATTCGTAGTCTCCTCTTCTACCTCCTCCCTCTTTTTCATGTGCTTATTGTGTACAAGTCCTGATCAAGTAGTTGTTTGCTGTAATCTAAGTCTTCGCTCATGGTTTATCCTAACATCCCATTATTCAGGGTGACAAGGCTGAATCAATAAAGATGAAGCGGGAAAAGGAGAGATTGGAAAGGATGCACCATGAAGGTATTTGCTATATTATAATAAAGCAATTAGATCAAATTACCTTGCTTTCCCTATTACTATATTTATTGTGCACACTAAACTGGTTTTTAGCTCAAGTTGTTTCCTTGTATCACATTCATCTCATTTTTTCTGTATTTGGAGGTGTGGTGAAATGTTCCAATGCTGGGTTTTTTGTGACGGGAGCGAACCATTTCTAAATCTTAACAATCTGCAATAAAATTAACTTGATTTTGATTATCATTCTCTGTCCTCTATGAAAAGCTTCATATGATTGATGAGAGGGAATAAGTGGGTGTCATTTGATTGTTAGTTGCTTCCTCTTTGTCCTCAAAATTCGTGTGTAAGTTTTTCCCCTTTTGAATTATTGCAGAGAAAACAAGAATTGAAGCCCAGATCAAAGAGGCTGAAGCTGCCTCCCAGAGGCAACACGAGATGGAATTGAAGGAGCGAAGGCAACGGGAAAGAGAAGCCGCCCGGGTTGCAGTGCTGAAGGTTGTTGACTTTTGCTAGTTTTATGGCTTGACACCTCAAAATCATAATTCTTTTCGTCCTATCATAATACGACTGGTTTCCTTGGTCGAAAAATACGATAATTTCAGGTTGAGAAAAGTGTTGAGATTGAGGAGAACAAAGAAGTACTGAGAGAACTCGAGGATCTAAGTGGGTGCAGGCTGTTGTTAGTCAGTCCAAGAGTGGGTGAGAGAGCATACAGAGGAAGAGAAAGTGAAGGAGGATGTGGCTTTGAAAGCCCCTTGAGTCCACTGGAGCGATTAGGTCTGTTCTTCAAGGACGACGAGACCGACAATGTGGATGATTGGTTAGATGTTGATGTCGAGGACGGCGAGCTGTTGCCTTGAAAATGCCTGCAGTCCAAAATAATTACTGCTTGTGTTCCATATTATTTTTTCTTTCTTTCCTGAGCTGCCTCCTGTTAATAAATATCTTTTGCCGAGAGGAAAGGGGAAGTTTTGATTGATTGTAAATGAGTATAATTTAGTAGTCGTTGGTTATAGATTAGGTTGGTTCTGTAGCGTGCACAAGTTGCACTTCGATTCGTATAACGTCCAGTTAAGTTAACTGGAGTTTGATGCTGGATCTTGTTGCCCCTAGTCGAGTTCTTTTGGAACGAAATTTCTAATCATGTGAAAGATAATATCCAACATATACCACTGGTTCTAACCGGCTATATTTCGGATATGGAAAATGGATATTGAAGATACAAGAACTGAACGCTCTGAAACAGAGAATGAAATTGGTTCGGTAGATACAGACATCTCCCGGCAACCGGCATTGCCCTATACTGGAGGCCAGTGAACAAATTTAGTGAGAAGCATTAATCAAAGATTGTGCTCCACCTGCTAAATCCGCTTTGTGGCCAACACCAAGATGAATACGGTTGAGTAATTCCAATTTTCAAACAAACATCCAACACCGCTGGTTATATTCGAAGCCAAAAATTAGTTTGCATAAAACTCTGTAAAGCTCTATATGTCCCTACTTCCTGCTAACTACCACATCTTGACGCAAGTGAGCCAAAATTACGATACGAGATAGAAGTTCCGTCATATGAAGAGTCTCCCCCTGATTGTCCTTAGCCAGGACAGCTTCGGTTACAGGAAGTCGGTGCTCTCAGATAAGAATTCAACATGTCAGATAGTGTAGCGATTCTTGGCACCTCTGTCAAGCTTCTTTGCATCATCCTGAAAATAACAGCAAGATACAAAAGTAAAACACCACTTCAACTTACTTGCATATCTTGAAAAGGAACATACATCATTAGTAAACACCACACTTACATGGAATATGAACCCCATACTATCATTGGAATCAAGAAATTCCTTCCATTGTCTCCCGATGCTCAGCTACAGGCGACATTTTCATTGATCATGCACTAATAAGTAAAGAAGTCATCAAGTAATATATATATCCAATGCTGCATACCTGAGCGGCTTCATTTGAAGCATTCTTGGTCCAAAGAGAAATCTTCTCCTGCCTAGCCCTCACATTGACGACAGCCCCACAAATCTCATCTCCATGTTCGAATTGCTCCCCAATCATAGCTAGCAGCTAAAGATAACAGAGTATTAATGAGAGACGCACGATGCTCAGAGTCACCAAAATGAAGAGACTTAAAGACTGACTAAAAGCATACCGTATATAGCCAGCTGGTATCAGATTTCGTTTTCCCAAAGGTCAAAGTCCACTTCCCTCCACCAGCACAAACAGGGTCCTCCCACTTCGGCTCAATCTTGTGCTTGAAGCAGTAGAAGTCTGCTCCACCAGGGAGCTTGCTTGGATGATGAATATTGTTGTAAACACTAAACCCAAGATAAAAATGTCAATCAACATATAAGCTTAGGGATCTTATAAACTAGTATTCAAATGAACCAACAAAATCTTTTGTTTCATTCCAAGCGTTGCAAGGGGGAAAAGGTGAACACAATATGCTTTAGTGATTTCAGAAGTCGGAACTAATTTATCCCAATTCTCCCATGAGTTAAACAATGCCGAACTGTTACCCTTGTCAGGAAGGCTGTCAGGAAATCGATAATACCTAAGATATGCTGGGAAAGAAAAGATCAGGATTGGTTTTCACGGCTATGAACAAAAACTAAACAGAAAAAACTGCGGGAAACTAGGCTTCTAGCTGTCAAGTTTGTCTCTGAAACTATATGAAACCAGGTTCCCAAATTTATAGCTACTAATGACTGCAAAGAACTGTATGGAACATCAACCTATGGTGACTTTCACGCTGAACCTTCTAGGAAATGAATGTCCAAGTTACTACTAGAGAAGCAAACTATCGAGTACCTTGAGATCTAGCAACAACACGTCACAACTGAGACCAAGTCCTCTAACTAATCAACCAAAAATTGTTTCTACACGAATTGAGTGCACAAGCTATAACCATGTGCTCCCAGTAACAATCCAACACAATATGCTATTTACGCTCCTAATTTATCCAAAATGATCATATAATATGTCAAGGAGTACAAGTGTAACTCCAGTGCATTTAGCTGTTTCATAGGCGAGGGATAACATCCAAGGACATAAGCAATTGAATTCCTAATATAAGAGAACCGAGTAACACTTACAGGCAAAACCTTTTGAGGACATTCATTCAGTTTATGATCTCTAGCGAAAACGAGAACCATAAGTAGATTCAAGATAAAGAATAGCAAGAATCCCCATCAGACATATTACTCAATAAAAAAACATCACCACGAAAGCCAGACCAATGACCAAGCCATCGAACTCCTGAGATATTCACTTGCCACTATAGACATTCAATCACAATCAACCTAAGCACGAAACCCCCAATCTTCTCTCCTTCAAAATGATATCAAGCTCAAGCAAAGACATTAACAAACAACGAGCTCGTAAACCGCATCAAGATCAGACCTTTCTCCGTCAATAAACGCGCAAAGGAAATAAAAACAAAAGAATCATCACCTCCAGAATTCCTCGACGGTGGAGAAGGTGTAAATGGAGCGCATGGAGCTCCCCCAGGCGGTTTGCTTAGACTTGGCGGATGGATTATCGAACCAGAAAGTCCATTGATGTTCGAGCAGGTGCGGCTGGTAAGGCACAGCGCTTGATTTCTTGGACGAGCTGTCGTCGTCCCCGACGATCTCTCCTTCCTCCGGCACATCGTCGCTCCCGGCGACGTCGTCGGCGTGTGGCTTAGGGTTAGCGTTGGCGACCTCTTCAGAGGTCGGTGCCGCCGATTTCTGCGACTCCTCCACCGCCATAACGCGATCGCTTGATGGCGGGTGCGTCAGCGTTTCTTGGCTGCTGTTTTCTACCGGAGATTTTTCGTTTACTCGTGACCAATTTGTTGGGATTGGGGGATGCTGCTCGAGAGAGAGAGAGAGAGAAGAGACGGTGGCTTGAAACTTAAAAGATGAAGGTAACTGGAGTGGAGGAAGCCGAAACCCGAAATTGCATGATGATATGGAACAGTCGGGTCGGAATGAAGATCCGGAGGCCCGATCATTAGTTGCTAAAGCTGCTTCTGCGGAGCCCATTAGATGGGAACTGGGAAGGCCCAATTTTTTTCAATAACCTTTCCTTAATGACGGAATATTGTAATCTTAATGGTTATAACACTCGTGAATAATAATTGACTAGCGTGGAGCCCCGGCCAGTTGGCCGGAAGGTGAGGTATGAAATTTGAGAATGTAATGGTGTGTATAACTTATTGTTGTATAGTTTTTTTTTTGGGAAACACGTGATAAATATAGTGAATTTTAGCAGGAAAAGACATGAATGATGAAACTAATTAAAAGTCAGCCTTATGAACCAAGTTCGAGTACCTGTTACCTTGTGAAACAATATTATTTCTGATAATATGATGAGATGTAGTAAGTTTTGTAGAAACCGAATTCCAGAAAACCGAAACAAAAATCGCCTATCCCGTCGGTCTTTGGGAAATGAGCATCTCGCAATCGTTGCTAGCTTTTGCTCGGCCCATTGGCCAATTAATTTTCTTTATAGAACTTTCATCTTGTCGTCAAAGTTATTAATTCGAATGGAACAATTCATTCATCAATTCACGGAAAGAGTTACCAGTTCGACATTCACAACGGGAAGAATTGAAACCTGAACACCGAAAAAGTTGTATACACAAAACCCTTGGATTTTTTTTTTTTACAAAAGTTAATCATATATTGATAGAAGAAAAAGATAGTTACATCTTGAAACTAAGCCAGGTTCGAAAATCAAAGCGCCGACTCATAGTCGGGTACAAAGAAAAGGTCTTTCTAGCCACCCTATGGGCTACCCTATTGTTACACCGACCTACAAATCGAATAGTTAAACCAGAACGGGCCTGAAAATAATATAATATCTCCTCAAGAACCACCCCCACCCGGTTATCTGTAGTATCTGCCTTGTTGACTTTATTAATGTGCACCTTAGCATCTCCCTCAAACCTGATGTCCGAGAAGCCGAGCTCAAAACTCTTGGAAACATTATCATTTACATTATGAATTAGGATGATAAGTATCTCATCTCAAGCTTTGGATAACAGAATTCATGATGTTATAGAGAAACAATCTGTATGAGATAACAATAAAGGAAGTGAATGAGAATGAAAGGAAACTGGAGGGCTGTAAATGAAACCAAAAGGGAAAATTTATATAAAGGATTTTCATTAGTTTTGCTGGTAAATTAGTGATTTGATGTCCGTTTACTAAACTTAATCTGGTATATCTCGGAGTTTCAATTCGACATAACTGTGAGTGATCACTCAAGAGACTTTGTATCAATGAGGAAAAAATTGAGGTAAGGCATCTCATCCTATGAGTATATAAACATAAATTGAGGTAAGCAAACTCAATTTCTCATGTTCGACCAACTAAAAAAAACGTAAAGATGGTAAGTTTATATCCTACTAAGACTAATTGATTTTGGTTGTTTAGTTAAAGCACTTATCCCTTCAAGCCAAATTCAAAAGAAGACTGGAATTTGGTAGCCTAAAGGTTACCTGATTTACCGGATTTTGAGCTCTTCCATTCAATTCACACGGCAGTGCAAGACGAACAAAAGGGAACCACGAGATTTGAATGAGAAGGTTCATTGGAAGAGTACAACAATTTAACAGGCAATCAATGTGAGCATTCCGTATCACAAATGTTTATTAAAGACTTTAGTATCATTCACCATCACCCTACAGAAACTACCAAAAAAAGGAGAAAAGTACAAAATGCAATAGCTACAAAACAAATTCTTCAGTGGCAAGCAACAACTCCAAACTTGAGGAGAATCAAACCAGCAACCTCTAGTTTTCTCTGCGACTAAGTAATTAAGGAGAAAGAGCTCACATCAGCATCAATGTAGAGAACTCTGAAAGTTTAACTGGGTTTCGCCACACTCCGGTTAGAGTCCAGGCCCTTACCCTTAATTTAGTTTAGACGCAGCTCGAATGCCTTTACGCTATAGGCTGTGTTAAGCATGCTTCTTTGACAAAAAACAAACTCTTTTTCCATGACAACAGTCGCGACTATAAAGGGTTGGGAGAGACTGAGGGGTGGGTTTTTGCTACATACCATGAAAGGCTTCTGATGGCGATAGCTCCGATTATGCTGAAGTGGCTTCTCTTAAAATCAGAATAACAGTCTAACAACTAACAAACAAAGGCCTTGAAAAAACAATAAAGACAGAGAGCTTCCCTTATCAAATTGACACTTGAGGAGAAATAAAGAGAAACTCAATTCATCACTACAGCCTACTTAATTCATCTAACCATACATAGCAACACTAACATACCTAAAAGGAGGTGTCTTCTAAAGTTTAGCATTCAATGATCAGAAATGGTGTGTATGGCTAAGAATATTGTCAATTAGGCAAAAAATACATGCATCACCATTATGCACATGGTGAAGCCATACTGTCTTGGTAGCCCTGCTCCATTCATACAATGTACCTCGAACTTGACATGACGGAACCTGGAGGGTGGCCTACACGACAGAAACATGATTTCCTTTTCAGCATACAAATAATACTTTCCTTGGAGTGATCAGCCGATAAGCTATCTCCATACATGAGTACATGATGCTGATTTCAAGTGATAATACGGCAACTCGCAAACAAAAGTTGAACAAAAGTTCCATGACCAACATTTAGCAATGAATAATAAAGTAACACAATAAAATTACAGACTTACACAACCTTGCTTGTCCAGATATGCTGAGAACATGAATCGTGGAATTCCACTGAAAACAGTTGCAGAAGAGGTGTTAAAATGTTGTCGAGCTTTCTAAGACTATTTGGGAATGAAAATGTAATTACCTACCAAGCATTACTTTTCCCTAATACCTTCAGTTAATTATCGGTACACTGCAAATATATACTAACTTCAATAGCATCAAACCTTTAGATGGCAACCCATAGGAAAAGGAAACTGCAGCAAGCTGAACTGACCTTCTATTGCACAACAAGTTCTTCCAAGGCCTGAGGTAGATACGTATCCAGTCCGCACATAGATCATTTAAAGTCGTCATCCCTCAACCCGACGCAAGGATCCACTTTAAATACCGTATGGCAAGGCACCTCCCTGCTTCAAAACCATGATGGGGAAATCTATAAGATCAAATTTGCATATCAGTTATACAATAACCATATTACAGAAAGTAGAGGTTATGATTGGGTACACAGAGTACTGCGAAGCTCTAAAGAAGTCCATAAAACTACACAGACAAAAATTGATAGCTAGCACTCTGCGTACATGCACCAATGGTATCACAACCCAAATGAAACCTCTCAGAAATAAAGATAGAGCAGAGAGTTTTCGGTTGAAGTAATCACAAGGATCTAAGGATAACTCTAGTGCCACTTGAAAGGTGATGAAAGCAAAAGCCTACAAAAGGACATGAAGCTTAATATCTACATCATCGCTTAGAAGAGCATATAAATAAATCATTGTTGTTCACAGCCGCAGACATGGAAAATGGAATCACACTTGATATTATATCTCCCAACATCTATGAATTCTGAACCGAAACTCAACGCTCCAGCAGGCAACAAACATATTCCTACCAATAAGGAAATATATATAAAAGGAAAAATCGAGATTTCTGAATAAAGGGGAAAAATAACACTGAGATAAGAGAAGCAAATATAAATTCGAAGATGACATACCTGGTGAGAGGGAAGCTTCAAATTGTGAGTCTTTATCAATAGGAACACAGAATCCAAACTGGAAAATAAAGGAGGCAAAAGTATAGGGATGAAATTAACTTAAGGGTTTATTTAGTTGCAAGTTAGTGCTAGATTAAGAACATAAATTAGCCACCGAGCTGCAAACTCAGGGTTTATTTAGTTCGCTTACCTTCAAAACTGTCGTTCAATGAATCGACACCATGCTGTGAGTGAGCGCTGCTGGGATACTGAACGATTTCGGCGGTGAAGACGGAATCACAACAATCACAACAAAAACTCAAACCCACCCAATACAGAGATGAATAGACATTAATTAATAGAACCCATGGCCACTTTGACTTCCAATTCCCTTCCCCAATCACAACAATCAACTCAAGCCAAACTCATGTACTAAGGTATTCCAAAGACGGCTCTTCTAAATCGGAACTCCTCCAACCCCTAATTTCTTTATAGAGTGTGGCTTATCATCTCACTATGAAACACTAATCTTTTTACACTGTTAATCTAATGGTATTTGAGCATGGGAATGTGGCAGCAAGGATAATGGTTTACCTAGTCAGACCAAGTCAACTATTCACCAAACTGTATTTAAACTACACAGTCGATCATCAACATGATTCTCAATTCCAATCCCGTGGTCTGATTAAAAGCACCCTATGAACCCTAAATCACAGTTGAAAATCTGGGAAATGACAGCCGACTGCCACCGTGATTCTTAAATTCAATCCCGCATACTAATCATGAGCACCCCTGAATGCTAAACCAAAGTTGAAAAAGCTAGGGAAAGATAACTTACTTGGAATTTCAGCTTTGAAAGGGACCTCAGAATTCACTATTTGAGGCTGATAAACGAATCCAATTCTGATCAGGCCACATATGCCAGTTCCCTGACCCCTCGACTTGACGAAACCCTCTTGAAAATGCAAGTACGTAGTTGGAACCGCGATTGAAGGGAGAGGCACCGAAACCCAATCGTACAGCCGCAGACACCGAGAGGATTGACGAACGGCTGGAAAATGGATGAATTCTGCCCCCTGCAGAACAATCCTCGAACGGCCTGCGTGCACGTACAACTGTAGTTTGATTACTGTCTTCCCAACCGGCAATTGGAAGTTAGGCCCGACAATTGGAAGTTAGGTTCGACAGTTTAAAGTTTGGCCTCCATAAGGTGTGGTTCCTCTCTTATTAAACCTCAAGCCTCCACAAACGTTCCTTGAACTGTAATCACCTAGCAATTATGTATAAAAACACAAACCCTTTCAATACAATTTGAACCTAATCAAAACAGAAGCTAGAAAACCAAACACGTTGGGATCGATTGATCGCCAGCTCCTTTCTCTATTAATTCTCCACG